TAGTAGTTAGTTTTACTTTATTAGTAGTAGTAGTATTATGAGTAGAGAGAGAGAGAGAGAGAGAGGGAGAGAGAGAGAAAGAGAGATGGCTATAAATTCTTGGTTCATGGCCTGCCTTCCATGCTTTTTTTCTCTAACATTTTTGAAAGGAGGGAGTAAGCATGGGTGATTTACAACTATTCTACCAATTCATCCTTTCTATACTCTTATTAAGTTGCCAAGTTTGGTTTTGCTGCTCTTGTGAAGTTGGTAATCTTTGTTTTGGCACTTCTACTTTTTTTGTAATCCTCCCTTTGGCTATTTCTTATTTTTTTGTCATTATAAATGGTTTTTTTTGTAGCTCACAAAGGAAAAAATCAGTAGTTGCATGATTAGGCCTAGGCTTCATTGGTTAAAGTGTGACCTTGCACAATTACATCATCATCACCATCATCATTATCATTACCATCAAAGTCTTATCTCAATTATTTGGGATCTGCTACACAGATATTTGTAAAAAGTTACGGCTAAAATGGGAAATACCCCTCCCATCAATTTACATTGACATGGCTGGTGAAGTGCTAAAATTATCACTCACAACAATTGAATTTGGAATTTATCAGACTATTGCATTTATTTTTTCAGTATCTTCATTCACTTTTCATAATCACACTTGTAAACGGTAGGATTGGCAATTGGTCGGGCCTATTAGCCTAAATAAGCCCCAGGCCCGGCTCTGGCGACACACAATATAGAAAAGCCTGGGGGCTATAGCAAACTTACAAATGGGTCAGGGCAGGCCAAACCAGGATCTTTGCAATTCATAAATGGGAAGCCATTTTTGGAAACTATATCATCATTTTGTCCATCTCTATTCACATAAACTGCATTGTGCTCTAACAATATCTCAAATTCATCGTGGTTTCATGGTTTGCTGTTATATTTTAGTGGATGTCTTCACAAATAAAAACCAAACAACTCCAAATTACAAAGTCGATTTCGATTACACTAAAGGGAGCGGGAGAGGTCCAGAAGATTGGGGTAAGCTTCATCTTGAGTGGGCTGCATGTGGTCAGGGTCGAATACAATCCCCCATAGACTTGGGTGCTCAAAGCCCATTCATACCAGAAAGATCAGTGCCTCTTAATTCAGACTACATACAAGCCCAGGCTTTTTTAGCCAACAGAGGTTTCCAAATCTCGGTAATCTCTGCGAATTTTTTTTTTTTTATCAATAAATAAAAGAAGAAAAAGTATATAATGAGACCATTATTTTAAGTTACATATTTCACCCAAATGGGCTGCTTCTTTGTGTCCTTAGCTGAGATGGGAGGGTCTGGCAGCATCGAGTGCGGGAGGGATTACGATTGACAACGTAGCGTATGCACTTAAAGGGTGTCATTGGCACTCACCTTCGGAGCATACCTTCCACGGCTACAGGTACACACTAATCTCGGTGTTTGTGTGTGTTTGTGAGTACGGATTGAACTTGAATTACTAAATTGACACATTGTATGTGTGTGTGTCTTTGTGTTTTCGCAATCGTGTGGATTGATCATGAATTATTTCAGATACCCACTAGAGCTCCACATGGTTCACCAAAGTTCCAATGGGAAATTTGCAGTGGTTTCAGTAACATATAAGATGGGAAGGCCAGATGCTTTACTTCATAAGGTGAGGACATCATACCATGTTCATTTATTTCATCATATAAAAATATAAAATAAAGTGCTTGCAAAGCGTGCCCACTGTTAAGAACAGACTACAATTATAATTGTTATTTGGATGGGATCGAGACTATTTATTTTTGGTATAAAGATGTCAAAATCATCCTTAGCTATTGGATGTGATATTTAATGGTTTAAAGTGTAACATAACAATCAAAAATTTTTATTTTCCAGAAGTAGATGGTAGTTTGTGTACAGTTCCTATTTGGAAAGGTTGTAGCTGCCAGCCCTAAACGACTGCTTTATGGTAAAAAGTCTATTCTCTATTGTCATCCATTGGAATTCACGGTAGATGCCCTTGTGGACTACCCTATCTAATGGACTAGTGGTGTATAGTGTTTTCCTTAACTTCTCCATAATTGTAATCGGTTCTTCGGATTCCAATAGACACAGTTTGGACACCCCACTTGTTTTGGTTCTTAGTTAATTTCAAAATAGAGGTTAAAATAAAATTTTAAAAAAACGAATTGGTGAACCGGATTGGCCACTCCAAAAACAAGGTCGGATCAGTGGATAGGTGATCTAGATTGGAGAATCAGTTGGATCGACAGGTTTTGGCCAACATTTCAAAAAACACGAAAAATCTCTTAAAATAGTGTTTTTGAGTTAACAAAAAAAATTCGGGGTGATGTGCTATGTTCTTTTATTATTTTACAAAAACAGGTGAATATTGAGATGTCATTTTCCTGTCTAGATATCTATTGACTACCTAAGATTTTAGGGCTCTTTTTTCCTTTGTATTGTCTTAATTTCCTTTGAATGTTAAAAAAGCCCAAAAAGAAAAAAAAAGAGATAGATGTCGCATTGTCTTACTTTTCCTTGGTTGGCAAAGTTTTCCTTAAACCATAAAAGTTTATTTATATAGCTTTGAAATTAGCTACATGGTATAAAATCAAAGCTATATGGTGTAAATAAACTATAGTGTAAAATAACTAGAAATTAGCTAATTTAGAATGATGTTGTAAGTTTTTAAAATTAGCTGTAGAATAAAATAACTATGTTGTAGATTAACTATCTTTACACTATGGCCTGAGGAAAATATAGCCAAGTTTATACCATGTAAATAAACCATATAAATAAAATAGCTTTAAATATTAGGGATTGTATACAATGAAACTATTTATCTTTATTACATGGAGGTCACAATCTCTCCTACTCATTAGATGTCAAATTAGATGGCTTGGGTTGGTTAGGAAGTATGATAATTTTTTTTTGAACTTTGAATCTTTTCGATAACAATCTTAAAATCACCCAATTTGATATCCAAGAGACAAGAATGATTGTGATCTTCTTATACAAAAAATAATGGTCTCTTTATATATACTTTCTAAATATTAACTATGTAAATAAAGTAATAAACTATGTAAATAGCTATGTAAGTTTGCCAAACATTGTAAATATCTCGTACGTAAAATTGCTCCCAAAGATTTTGTAAATGTCTCGTATGTAAAATTGCTCCCAAAGTTTTGTCATGCGTTGAATTGTTGTTACGTTCGGTTAATTTGAACAACGACTTTGTCCACTTGAATGGTATCAATTTAAACGACCATTTTGTCCCATGGTTCATGCGTTGAATTGTTGATGACATTTACGCAAAAGTGAAGGAATGAGATAATTTGTCCCACATCGAATATTAGGAGTGACAACTTTCGTAAAAGCATCTTGCACAATAACAATGAGAATTTTACGCCCTGATGACGCATGTGTGTTAAAGTGGTTGGGGTTAGTTAAAATGCAAGCCTTTTTGACAGGGGTGCGGTTTTTAGAGCCAACCTTCAAATAGTGTCGAGAAATTTGGTTTTTATAGAGCCTAGGCTCTAAACAATCAAATTAGAGCCAACCTTTAAATAGTATCGACAAATGTGGTTTCAATACTGAAAACTTTCGTGATAGCCTTAAAATATATTTTCATATTTATTTATAAAGTTTAAAGCTTCAGAAATAGTATAGATCGTCCGATCTATGAAAACTTGAAAATCTTGAAATTTGACGGTCCAAATATGTATATACAAAATACACTATTTCTAAAACTTGAAATCCATTTTTTTCTCATGTCCATGCATCTTGATATCGAGATGATCAATTTGAAGATATTTGGGCATCAAAACAACCTCTTCTAAGGAAATTTTTGAGGTAAGCTCTAATTTGATTGTTTTGAGCCTCGGCTCTATATAAACTTTTCCCTCTTGACGATAAAAATTATAGGGATGGGCCTGCCCCTCTACCAAAAAAATTTAAAAACATGGGGGAAGGCCATTGGATTTAAAAATAGATTTAAAACCCACTGAACTCGCCCTTGCTAAAATCGGTTCAAATCAGAATCGGTGGGTTTCTGATATATGACGGGAACTGGACCGGCTTCGATGATTTTCAATCATCATCGGGTGTTTTCGATCCAGATCACTCAATTTTCAAACCTTGCACTCAACAAATTATAGCAAGAAATACCTTAAGAGAACTGGATCAGCTTCGACAATTTTCGAGTCGGAGCAGCCATTTCTGATCCCGATCGGTGAATTTTCAAACCTTGCACTCAACAAATTATAGCAAGAATCCCTTAAGGCTTGTTTGAATATATACATTATCATTAATAACCCACTATATCAATACGATTAATCCTAATGATAAATACAAGTTGTTTGGCAATGTCCCTTATGAAATTAACCGAGAAAAACTTATAGGCAATTCTATTTATAAGTTTATCTTTTTGAAATTGTTATTTTTACTTTGTTCAAAAGTAACTTGAATAAAATAAAAAGTTTTAGTCAAAAAAAAAAAAATGAAAATAGTTAAAAATTCTTGATTAAATAATTAAATAATATAATGTATATTACAATATATGTACCATGTAGCTAACAAAATATTATTATGTCAAGTATAGTTTTTTTTTGTATGCAAGTATTATGTATAGTATCTTAATCTACTCATGATAAGATTAACAATCATCTAAACATGCCCTTAGATTATTTAATTCTTATGCATAACTCAACCAAATGTGGGGATACTCCACCTTGCTATTTGCAAATTTTGTAGTGTTGCTACAACCACAATGCATTACTTGTTAGTGGGAATCCAAAAAGAGATTTTTCAATGACCAATTCCATAAATTTGTAGTGACATTGTAATGCAGTTAATGGAGGATATGAGGTCCTTGGGCTCTGAAGACAAGAGATTAGGGTTCATAAATCCAAGAGATGTCATGCATAACTATCATAATGTAGCATATTACAGGTATGAGGGCTCTCTAACAACTCCCCCTTGCACTGAGGGTGTCATCTGGACTATAATAAAAAAGGTATGGAAGAGCGTGCCTGCAAATTTTCATAATTTCAGAAGGAAAAAGTTCCATGATTTCAAAAGAAAAACCATTTTTCTTCTTCTTGAATATCAAGATGGGATTGTGTTTGTTTATCATGTTCCAGGTGAAGACTGTGTCATGGCAGCAATTGATAACATTGAGAGGAGCGGTTGACTGTGTGAGTTTTCCATTCTCTGTCATTTTATTCCCATTACTCTTAGATTAAATATTGTTTTTCTTCTTTCAAATTATTACAAAACCAGTAAGTCAATACATGCACAAAACAAACAGCCTGCAATCACACACACAAATATACTATTCTTGAGATGCAACAGTGAGGGGTGGGGAATGGATGATTGTACATGAAATGACTTTGATATTGAAAGGAAAAGAGAAAAGATAGTTCCAAATAATTAGGCCACGTCAAAAAATGACACCCACTCTCAGTTCAATTGGACGGTGCATTTTAGTGGAGAAGCAACTAACTGCCACCACCACATCATCATTTCGACCGATACTATCTACGCCACTGCTGTCATTACCACCACCACCCCAAGTAATGGTGGTGAATGAAGTGGGGTTAGACCGGTGCCGACGGCAGTTAGTTGATGGTCATCAACCTCACTCACTTTTTTTGTTCCTTTTTTCTTCGAGTGCCAACAGTAGTTCGGTGGTGGTGGTCATCGACCCCACTCTCTTTTTTCTTCTTGTTTATTTTGGGGTAGTTCAGTGGTAGGAATGGAGCTTGAGATGTACTAAAACCACGCGTTAACCACTGATGCCCAATTCTCTTAAATATCCTACGTTCATTTGAAATTTTAAATTGACCCACACAAAACCTATATGAATTTTGCTGCATCAAATTTGCCACCCATGGGCCCATTGAATTCTTTTGGCATATGTTTATATATGGATATGTTTCATATATATATATATATATAGGTGTCTCTATGGTCATCCTAAGGACCAAATTGTACATTTGATCACGCAGATAGTATTCATCAACTCATCTTTTTATTCACCTCGATGAATTTAAGAAAAACAAGGAGGCGATTTCGGGCTCTTAATACGTTTCAGATCACCCATTTAATAGATGGTCGAAGTCAATCTTGCAGTATGAAAGGATTTGGACCTTCCTGATAATTCTCTTTACTAAATCATGTTCGACTACTTGGGCGAGCCAACACAGTCTCGCCCGAGTTACCATGGCGGGCCCGAGCATTCCCAGTTTGGTGGTCAAGCTCAGGATATTAAAAATTTTTTCAAAAAAATCATAAACATTTAAAAGATAAAAAATATATTTGTAATATGTTTTTTTTGTATTTTGTATTTTTTTTTTGGCAAAGATTTGGAAGTGTTTTGGCCATGAATACTCAGTTTTATATTTTTCCTTCTTTTTGAATTATTTTTGAAATGCTGCCGGTCACAAATTGATTTTTTCAAAATCCATTGTTCCCTATGTTTTAAACCCCATTTAGATGTGTTTTGTTTAATTTTACTTTAAACATATTTTTCAAGATTATTTTGTATTATTATTATTATTATTATTTTTTGGCCTAGCTAGAACCTGCCCAACTCGGGCTGAGTTACTCGGACATGGCCTGACCCAAGGCTGAATTACTCGGACACGGCCTAGCCTAGGGCTGAGTTGTGCTTTCCTACAATGTTCAAAATTGAAAATGAAGTGAGAATTTTGGGATTGTCTACAAAGAGACTATCGATCTTTTGTACATGGAGGTCACAATCATTCAGACTCATTAGCGGTTAAATTGGATAGCTTGGAGTGAGTCATGCACATTGAAATTTTTTTTAGAGCTTTGTGTCTATTCAATGATACTAGTACAACCACCCATTTTGAAATTTAATGGATAAGAATGATTGTGACCTGCATGTACAAAACATAAATGGTCTCTTTATAGATAATCCCTAAAACAAAATTAAAAAATTCGGGCGCCAACAATTCCCCAAACTAAGTTTGGAGTGAGCTAGAATTTCCTTTATGGATGTTGAGGTTCCATATTGCTCTCATCTTGAAAATATGGAACAGAGAAGTTAAAGAAGAAATAATAGAGAACCATGCAAAGATGATAGGAAAAATATTGTCTTAAGTGTGTTTATATGATTCTTTTTCATTCATTGCAGGGCTACCAATCAAATGCCAGACCCACACAACCCACAAATGGAAGACCGGTGTGGTTTTTTACCTGAGGTACCATTGCAAAATAAAACTCTCACCCTCACTCTCACTCTCTCTCTCTTTTCCTTTTTTTTTTTTTAACTCTCTCACCTTCACCCTCACTCTCACTCTCACTCTTTTCTTCTTTCTTTTCTTTTTTTTTTCTTTTTTTAAGACATCTCTCTCAACAAAGTGTATGGTCGTTGATAAAAGTATCGGTGGTCCAGTAGTTATATTCTCTCTCTCTCTCACTGCCCAACAAAGTGCATGGTCATTAGAAAAAGTATTGGCTGTATTTTGTTGATAGGGTCCCACGATCAATCATCCAAGATATCTAAGAGGCTCACATTTTTTCTACCAGTGTTTTAAAACTCGGATCGATGGGCCAATTGTTCACCCACAAGGTTTAAAAGCGTGGTTGCCAATCGGAAAGCTAGTCCGGATATATAGTCCAGATCGACAATCTAGCCGAGTGAAGGGGCCAATCAAAAATTTAAAAACAAAATAGGGAACAAAAAAATTTTAGAATAAAAAATAAAATAAAAAAGGGGGTTCGGCTCTAGCTAGTTCTTTGTTAGAGAACCTGCTAGAAACGGCTGGTTCATAAAGGGAACCAGATGGTTCTCAATATTTTGGGGGAGTCGGAACGGCCTCTCCTGTTCTTGATCTGGATCGGCCCATTCTATTTGGGTCGCTGATTTTTTTAAATCCTATTTAGTATTCACCGACAGATCAGTATCAGATAGGTAGATTGGCAGCAAAGATTGGGTTTGAGTTGGTCCTAATCAGTGATCAAGAAAGATAGAAATTATTGAATTAAAAAAAAAGTAACATAGAATTTTATTTGGTGGGGATTTAGAATGGGTTTTAGGGGGAATCGGTCTAGGACCCACCAGAGCCGGTATGGTCTCAACCAATTCTCATATGAATCTGCAATTTGGATAAGAAATCGCTGATTTTTAAAATACAGTGTTCAACTAATATTTGGATCAACATCGTGAAAATTTATTCAACTAATTCTTAATCAACTATGGAAAAAATCATTAAAAAAAAAAAAAAAACTCAAAAAAGTGCCCCAATTATCCTCTCTAAAGTCAATTATGGGTGTCTTTATCAAATTTCATTTGCGCTGATTTTTGGTCACTCAAATCTGACTGTTCATCTCGCTGTCGTATAAAAAATATAATTTTGTCCAGCGAGAGAACCATCTACCCTCACCGCCTACTTTTCCCACTAATATATTGGCCGAGATGTAAATACTAGCTGAGCCGGGCCATTAGGGGGTAGCAATGGACCCAGACCCGGACCCGACCTGGACCCACCAAGTATACTTGAAACGGTTCTAGGTATGCGTCCAACATTGGACCCGGCGAGTCGGATCTGGTTCCAAAACCTAGACCCGAATACTATTTGGATCCAAGTCCAGACCTGACCCATACCTTGATACTATTGGAGAAAAAATACTTCAAACCCTATTTGTATGGGTATATTAATGATTGTATACAATAAACCCATGGTCATATTTAGCTATTAAACGACAAGTCATACGGTTTGAAATCTAATGTGGGTGATTGTGACCTTGTTGCCAATAATATTAGTATATGACCGTAAAAAAAAGAGAAGCTCATAGGGGTGGCAATGGACTCGACATGAATTGGGACCCGACGGTATAGACCTAGGACCTGAAAATGGGTATGGGTCTAATGTTTGAACTGTTTGAACCCGAAGGGTTTGGTCTGGATCCAAAACCTGCTCCCGAATACAATTCATGCCTGAGTGCGGGTCCAGCCAAGCCCGATCCATACCTAAACCATTGCTACCCCTATAGGCCATTCAGTTAGGTGGTTTGATGGGGTCTCTATGGATCAACCCACTGATACGTACACCTGTGTCCCCCTCTAAAATTCATGTTAAAGATGGATTTTTTATCTAAATGTCTAGGGATTCATCATCTAGATCAAGGAGACGATGAATATAAAAAATAAATTAAAATTTAAATATAAACATTTTATAAGTTGTTTTGGTCTACTACAACTTCACACGACGTTCATCTGTAGATGTTCGCGGTTCTGCAGTCTCTTGAGGCCCCTTACTCGTACAAAACTTTTCTTTTAAGGCACGTTTGGTCGGTGCGTAAATATTTTACTTCTAAATATTTCCCCAGGTAAAATAATTACGTATGTGAATACTTTGTAGGAAATTTTTTTGCAAACTTTCATTTCACAATGTTTATTAACACATTTAAAAAACATTGCGTAATGAATTACAAATATGTTTGATAACTTGTTTGATATTTTAACATATTTTGTAAATATTAAATTCATACATACAATATTATTTTTATATTAAATATAAAATATTTTATAATTTATATTTTATTGTAACTAGCAATTACATAAATAAATTATATTATATAATAAAATATGCTATACTTTAAATAATAAAAAATATATTATATAAATATATGCTATTACATAAATATATAATATAATATAACTATTGCATATTATATATAATACAAATATATATATTATCTAATGTTATAAAATATAGTATAATATGAAATATATATTATTTATATATTATATATTAAATATTATTGAAATACAATTTATATATTAAATATATTATTTAATAGATAAATAAAAATATTGTATAATATATATTATATTATAAATAGTGAATAGTGAATAGCGAATAACGGCTCAGAGTGTGAAAATAAAAGCACGGGGAATATTTTCCTACATCAAGAGGTGAGGTTTTGTTTTACCATGAATTAGGCCATTTAATGGTAAATTTTTTTACCATCGGATTTATTTACATATGCATTATACACCAAAGGAACGTATGAAATGCTATTTACACATGTAAATATTTTCCAAAAATATATACATACTAATCAAACTTACCCTTAAAAAAATTAGGTTCAACTTCAACGTGAAGTGGCAAAGCACCCTGTAGAGAGAGGAAAAAGTCATAAGGAGGGAGAGAGAAAGTGAGAGAGTAGAGTATGGATGTAAGGAGAGAGAAATTGACAAAGTATAACAGGCCGAAGGTAGAAATAATAATCGAAAGTTTATCAAAATATTTTTGAGTGATGAATTATTTAACACTCGAGAAAGATTGAGAGAATAGAGATATGAATGGAAGGAGAGATAAAGCATAAGAGGGAGAAAGTAGAAATAATAATAATAAGTTTATCAAAATATTTTTGAGTGATGAATTATTTAACACTGGATGGGTTTCAATAAGTCAGCCTAGTCATAGGCTCCCCCCCTCTAAAATCAATGAAATATGGATTTTTTATCCAAGTTTTTAGGTTTTAGGGATTCATGATTTAGGCTAAGCTGATCATGAATAGGAAAAACAAACAAAATTTTAAAGTTTAAAATATGCCATTTTATGGCAATTTTTGTACATTGTCCATATAGTATTTGAGTTCGAGGCACTTCACAAATGTCCATCTTTTCATGGGTCAATGGGCTCTTGCGTCTGCTGATTAAAGTAAAACCTTTACTTTTTATTTTTTATTTTTTATTTTTTATTTTTATTTATTTTATTTTTTTAGCCTTTTACTCATGCAGTTTGATTTGATTTCAAAAAATACCCATTAAAATGGACATGATCATGAGTTGAAATAGTGATAAATATGTAAAATATTAAATAGTGCATCTCTCATATAACTTTCCAAATTATAATTCTGGGGTTGGATTATTTTAGTCCTATGGCTCAACGCACAGGTCCTTCCACTTCGTAGGATGGACTTGAACCCAATTAGGGCACCTGTACTTCATCATTTCACACACTAAGGTTGCATATTTAGTCGCAGTTTGGAGCTTGTGATAATCAGTTCCGTCAATTTCAAAATAAAAAAACATGGAGACACATAGAGATATGTTTTTGGATATGTTTTTGAAGGGTACATGAGTTATAGATCTCACATAATTTGGTTATTTATTTATTTATTGAGGAAATGTCATTTAAGACGTGAGCTTCTTACCAAACTACTATGGGGGTTTAAAGTTTTTAATAAGTATTAGATTTATTTGATAATTTTTATTTCACTTAGGTACCTCATAAAAATATGTGTTCTAAATTTTTTAAAATTGTCCTTATTCAGAGTTAGGAAGCCTAAAGAAGTCTAGACAATTCTGTAATTTGTCCCACCCCCAACAAATATAAGTACTTGGGTCAAATTAATGAAATATTCCTGCATGTTCAGCGTTCCCAACCTTGATTAGAGGTAATTTAGATATTTTTTTAATATTTCCTTTAAGTACTTAGTGATATAAAAATTGAAAAGTAAATCCCTTAATATAATTTGAAATATTTTGAACCCCTTAGTGTTTTTGGCAAGAACACATAATTTTATTAATCACAAATGAATTACAACATTATAAGAGGAAATGATTATACGGATTAAACCCCATCATTAGCTAAAGAATCTGCCATCTCATTTTCCTCTCCATAGACATTATTAAAGACCACCACTTGAGTCCGAAAAAGATCCCAAACTTCCATCCATTAACTGCTTAAACTCCATGGAGGCCTGCTCTTCATATTCCACCAATTAATCACATTTAAGGAATCGCCTCCACCATCCAACCAAAATTAGCACGACATTCTTTCAATAGCTTGAGAACTTGCTACAACGCCAACATCTCAGCATTATTGGCTGTCACAACACTAGATGGCTCAGAGTACGTGAGAATCACATGACCCATAGAATCCTTAACCCCTCCTTAAAATCCTTAACCCCTCCTCTTACTCTAGCTGGTCCTGGATTCCCAAAAGAACTTCCAATGAAGTTAAGCTGAACACATTCATGTACTGATGGTGTTCATCTACCCTTGGGTCTAACCTTCAAAAAAGATTGTTTAACTAAAATTTGAAGATTAAGAGTGATATGCAACTTAGAAAACCCATAACCTTCATTTGTGTTAGAAAACTAAAACCACTCATCGTTAATAATCTTGTCCTTTCTTTTAACAAGATCTATACTCACCCCTTCAAAAGTCCCTCTATTTCTGTTCAAGTAAACCTCCCATTGAAGAGCCGCACGAAAAATCTCCCACAGAATCAAACCCTTTTTAGGCAGTGATGGAATAGTTAGTTGATTAATTATTTCTATAGGAAAAATTTCCTGTACTCCCATGTGCATACCGCTACGGTAAGCACCCAACAGCACAGATCGAATTTAGGCCGATTTGACGATCTCGGTTGTCTGGTAGTGTTTGACTTTTAGTTTTTTATACAAATTCAAATCCATTAAAATTTTAAGTGTATATTCTTAAAAAATATGCAAATCTACGAAAAATATCAAAAAAATATTTTACATGAAAAAAATTAACCAAAATACCCACAAAATGTTTTGGGGGTATTTTGGTCAATCTATTTTTCAGGAATTATTATTTTTTATATATATTTATTAAGTGCACCTTGATGAGAAAAATATACACGTAAAATTTCAAGTGATTTGGATTTGTAGAAAAAAAAGTAAAATTCAAACACTATCGGACAACTGTGACCATCAGATCGGCCTAAATTCGATTTGAACCGTTGGGTGTTTACTGTAGCAGTAAACACATGGGCGTACCGTAGCATATTCAATTTTTATATGTCAAGGAGGCATAGAATATGAACATCCCACGGATTGCAATGCCCACATTTATAATCCGTGAGTAGAAGAGCAATGTAGCAGTAGATGATCCCCGGTCTCTTCATTATCCTTACATATACATGATGATCAAACATTGATAATCAACTTCCACATTTTATGCAAATTCTAAACAGTTAGAACTTTGTTTTGAGATAAAATCCATAAAAATATTTGCTTCTTATTAGGGATATGCCATCTCCATATATATCTCAAGTTAGACTGCTCCCATCTAAGTCTATGATGCAAAATAATGCGATATTCAGATTTAATTGTGAAAATCTTGTCATTAGTGAACTCTCAAACCACCCCATCCTCTTCGTGTTGAGAAATATAAACCCCTTCCAGCTCATTCATGAGATTAGCAAACTGTGTTTTCAAAGAATCTGGAATTCTATTGTAAGTAAATTATAAATCATAGTTCACGCTATAATCATCTCGACCATAAGCCTCATTGACTCTCAACCGCTGATTAGTGGCTTTATCAAAAAGTTCTTTATATTGCACTTTTAGCGGCCTATCCCCAATCTACTTGTGACTCTAAAAATTAATGTGTTCTCCCGTGTCAACCCACCAAATATTCTTGACCACCATATCTTTTGAAGCAAATATACCTTTCCATACTTGAGATTAAGATCCACCATCTCTCCCCTTGCTAATAAAACCAGAATTGTCAAGCCATATTTAGAAATCAGAACCTCTTTTCAAAGTTGTTCACACCCAACAAAAACCTCCGCCGCCATTTAGATAAAAGTATTTGATTCACCAACTTTATTTTTTGAATCCCCAATCCTTCTTCCGACTTTAGTGTACACACTTTGTTCCAACTTACCAAGTGATATTTTCTCTCTCCATCCAATGTACCCTAAAGAAAGTTCCACATAAGTCTCTCAATATATTTAATCACAGGAGCATGCATGTGTAAAAGTGATAACATATAAATCGACATGTTAGCCTAGTTAGTCTTCATAACTGTTACGCGACCCCCCAGAGACAAACATTTGGTATTTAATAAGTCTAGCTTCACATGAAATCTCTTTACAGCTGGGTCCCAAACTGACCTCGATAGCTTAATTTGTGAAATAGATATACCAAAGTATTTAATCGAAAAATTATCAAACATACAACTCAAGGCCAACCGATCTACAATAGAAGAATTAACATCCCACTCCTACAAAAGAAGTCTTAGATAAGTTAATTTTCAGACCCAGGTGACTTCACAACATCTTAGAAAATTTGAGATTGCTCGTACTTGTTATAAGTTAGCATCACAAAAACTTAGAGTATCATCGACATATTGTAAGTGAGATCTGATAGGACTTCTTTTAGCCACCTTAAAGCCATTGAAACTTTCTTCTCGCTCCACATTCTTGAGCATTAAGCTAAAACTCTCTGCAACTAATGTGAAACGGAATGGTGACAAAGGGCCCCTTGACTTAACCCTCTTGTAGCTTTAAAAAACCTTTAGGGCAACCAATTATAAAGATAGAAAAGTAAGCTGAAGAAACGCACCCCCAAATCCAACCTCTCCATTTAGGCCCAAAGCCCATTCATGCCATATTTTCATCCAAGATCTTCCATTCGACCTAATCATAGGCATTCTTCACATCCAGTTTCATTAAAAACCCTAACTCATTACTCAAAGCTCTTGAATGCAAAGCTTCTTAAGCAATTAGAATGCTATCAGTTATGATTCTGCCTTTGATAAATGCTGATTGTGGCCCATAGATCACTTCAAGAAGCACCACTTTCAACCTCAAGGTCAAAATCTTAGCAATAATCTTGTACAGACTTGTGAGCAAACTAATAGGCTTAAGGTCATTAATACCGGTAATTGAATCTTGCTTCAAGATCAAAGCTATGAATATAGAATTAAATACTTTTGTCAATGACTCATCTCTCCATAAACTCTTGGAGCATATCAAAATTTATCTTTGACTATCTCCCAAAAGTATTGAAAGGACTGAAAAAGAAAATCATTCGGGACTTGGGGCTTTATCTCTTGGCAGAGAGAAACCATGAATTTTGACTTCTTCTATACTAATAAGGCCCTCCAATTCCTGTGCTATTTGTTTAGATAACCGTTTGAAAGGTACACAAGGAAATTTCACCTCCAAATTGTATTCACTTACAAAAGCCCTCTCAAAATGTTTAATGAACTCCTGCTTCTAATGATCCCCATCTTCCTCCCTTATCTCACCAAAACAAATATATGAGCTATCATTACGAAGCTTTCTTATGTTAGCAGTAGTATGGAAGAAAGCGGTATTCAAATCGCCCTCCTAAAGCCACTTTACCCTAGATTTTTACCTCTAATATATCTCCTCTTGTTTAAGCAATTAATATAAAGAGAGATTTAACCGAGAACTCTTCTTAAGAATCTCCTAAAAAACCACAGTCTCCTGAATCTCTTCTTCAACCTGGTTGATGTTAAGCACAATGGAGTCTATCTTAGCTTTCAAATAAGCTCTTGTAGTCTTTTTTCGAAAAAATCAGTTTATGTTTGACGTTTAATAGCTTTCCGTACATTTTGAAACCACACTAACCGTGTGAACCACAATGTTTACTCAGGTTTGCTTAATAAGGTCTCTATATCAGCCTCCAGCTGCCAAGCAATCTCCAATATAACGGTCTGGGCCCCTTAACCTCTTTACATGTTTGTAAACACACTGGGACATGATCTGAAGAGAGTTTAGGAAGCGAAGAAACACTAGCAAGAGGAAACTCCCTCTTAAAGTCGACAAAAAACAAAAATCCATCTAACGTACTCGGCACCAAGTTCATGAGGCTGTTATTGGACCATATGAACTGAACTCCATTTACAGGCAGCTCAAGCAACCCATGTGACATAATATAATAATTAAACATGCGCATCCATGAATTAAAAAGAACTTTGGTTGTAGTTTCATCATGTCTATGAATGAATTTTAAATCCCCTCTCACACATACAGGCAAAGCCACGTCCAAAACACAACTACATAAATCATATAAAAAAGCAGGTTTAAGAGAAGCTAAATTAGGACCGCAAACATGTAAAAACATCTACAAAAAATTAGAGAAAGATCCCTTGAAGATAATACCTAAAAAACGATCTCTTCTCATGATATCCACATAAATCAGTACAGAAGAGTCCCAAAAAACCTAAAGCCGCCCCCCCCCCCCCATATAAAACCTACTGCATCAAGCCCCCAAACCATGACAGGTCCCATGCCCCATATTTCTCAAATATTACTAACTGAAGGACGAGCTAATTTAGTTTCTTAAAGCATAACAATATCAGGTCTATATTTTTGAACCAAAAATTTGACTTGTTATGTTCTTGTAGCATCCAAGAGATGACTTTCATGACAAATAAGAAGAGGAACATCCAGTCCCGGTGGCATCCAAAGAGCTGACAGATGGCTGAACGAAGAAGTTATTAGAGTCATTATCACTTTCATCACTCATAACGTAAAACTTACATTTGCCTTCATTGCATGTTCTTCTTGGACCCACCCTGGCAACTGCCCTTGCAGACAATCGAATGGGATTCAGTCCCCTTTTGTTTGCCTTTGCTAGCACGAGCTTCTTCCCCTTTTCCTTTGACCACCAGCAACAGCACTTCTCTCTAACTACTCGGTTTTTTTTGCTTTTTTTTTTCTTTTTTTATTTGATTCTTTCCTTTATTGCTTCAAAAATTACGACTAAAGGAACCTCAAAATTCCGCCTCCATATCATCGTGCATCTCTTCATTTCTTCCTGAAACGCTTCCCCCCCTTGATCCTCAGCAACTTCATTAGGAATAGCGACTGCATAAGCTTCTACGCACCCATCATCAAGAGGTAGATCATCGCCTACCACCTCCTATTGCTCAATCAAAGGTGGTTGTGCTTCATCATTCAAAGGGGGAAGAACATTAATTGATGGAACAACCAAAGCATCCTCCAAGGAGCCCTCTGAGAAGTTGAGGTCATGCTCTTGCTCCCCGCTACCAATGTCTTCGATTTTTTCCAAATCTATTTGTTCCTCCTGGTCTAGATCAATCAACAAACCCATTACAATGTTCACATTTTCACCACGGAGAATCCTCGATTTGTTCTTCTTTTAGCAACTGACTTTAACAACAACAACCTTGGTGGAAACATCTTCATAATAGTAGCAAGAAGATCAAATCTCCTTCAAGAAAGGAAGTTGCAAGGTCTTTGAAGAAACGGTTTGTATCATATTTCCTACTCTTTAGGTTTCTATAAAGAGAAGGACTTTCCTTTACGGGCTTTTCCATTCTAGAAGTCGGCAATACAATAATGGTTGTACTTTCCCCATACCCCTGTTTTTTCTCAGGCACCACAATGAGATAATTGCAAATCTCTACTTGTCCCTAACAAAGGATCAAAATCCAAGGTTGTCCTATCAAAGTTACCTCCAGTAGCCTTATTTTTCTTTAAATGATCTTTCTTCACGATATATAGGGTTTCAACAAAAAAACCAACTTTATTGTCCGAAAAAACTGTCGAATTGACCTCTGAATTAGCCGTTAGGGTGGGTTGCATGTTAGTAATGTATGATGTTTGCTCCATCATTTGGCTCTTAGGTATCCAAATTTGTTTTTACAGGCTTTCTTCTTAAAAGAATAATTTGGATTCAAATTTTCTGGCCTAGATCCAACCTTCCTCTTCATTGGTCCATGCGTTCCAGCAGAATTGGAAACTAAAATGTGAGAGGGAACACCTCCATGACCATTTTTGAATTACAAGCTCTACATTGAGATTCATCCTGTTGTAGACCACCCGAAGATGATCCTGAACTTTTCCCCTTATGTCGTCTTGTGACTACCGTCCAACCATTTTCGATCTGACGGCCTTCAATCAGTTCTATTGAATTCTCCTCCCTATTATCTACTTTCCACAAGCCGTCCATTGTCATAGCTATCAAAAAATTATCTGATCCAACTCTCCATCCGACTTTTTTGCCGCTGGATGAAATTTGTTCAATAATATCATAACACGAACAAACCTCATATCAGTACTATTCAAAAGATTCCAGTCAACAGAAAATTGCTAATTATTAGAACACACTCAAGTTCCTAGCATGAAAAGGTATTCCTCATAGAAGGATCCAAACATAATCAGTATAGACAAAAGAAACATGAATATTGAGACACCAAAATTCTAGAGTCAAACGCCTACCTCATACTCTCCAATGTTTCTTACAAATCACCCGATTAACATCTTCTTTGTTTACTAAGGAAAAATACAAATAATGATTGTCATAAGAAAAACCAGACCATTTCTCATAGGTTAACATGGAGAAATAAATAAAACCCATATGAAGATATTGTTCACCAAACTCTTGCGCTCCCCTCTTAAATGATATCTCCTGATTGTTTTACATTCAATTACTGTTAACATGGGTGTTTGTCGAAATGAAACTTTTGACTTCATGTTATAACATCTGTCGCACCGAACACTTCTACCTAAAGTCCGAGTCCATTTTGAACTAATTTATGATAGCAAAAAACTTCAAGAAATAAGATTAATTAATTTATTTATTTTTTTGTATTGGTACTAATAATGGAATCTTAGATGTTTTGCTTAATCACTCCAGCCCAATGCCCAAATGTTTTTAATATCTCAGCTAGCATCCTGTCTTATGCGATGCACTCACACCCCGACGATTGAGGGATGCATAACTAAATGGAAAGAAAATAAATTATGTGAAAATCACATTTTAAGAAAAGTTTGTAGTATTAATTTTTTGGAAAGTTATTACTGTAAGTAATGTGACCATCAAGAAGAAGCTCCTTTTTTTTTTTTAGTAGTTAAAGGGTAGACTAACCGATTTTTTAGGGGCCAATTTTGACCCACCATCACCAAATATTCCAAAAAAGCGGAGTCTAGATTGAAAATCGTTTGATCCACATCAGAAATTGGCACATGCCAAACTAGTTATGTAAAGAAATCATTGTCTGGTCTCCCTTAAAAGCCACCTCCTTATACAATTTAATTTAATTTAATTTAATTTTTTTTTCTAGTTTTTTATTGTTTTCTCAAGTACATTAGTAAGCTACAATCCCATAAACCATTCTAGCATGCAGCCCCATGCATTTCATGAAGAGTGCAAGTGAGCATTCCTTTGCAGACTAAAAAGATTAAACGGTGATTAGGGGGGCAGGTTTCACTTCTACCGTTAGCACTTACAAAATAAAAAATAAAAAAGAAAAAGATTTAATATATGTAAAAGCCAAACACTAATACTTAATCTTTTAGTATTAATTTATTTAAATTGACGTACAAAACTCCGAGCATTTATATTGCTCTCTTTAGGTAGATGAGGCACTAAAAATCAATGTCAAATTCCTATTGAAGGAAATCAAAAAGTGAATGGGTAGCCAAAAAATCATTAATTGCACATTAGTATCTTCTTATTTATTATCCCTATAAAAAAAAATAATATAAAGTATGTGATTTTAATATACATTATTGCCAAAAAAATTTGCTCTCCCATAGGAGCATATTGTGCATTTGATCCCTCAGGATAAACTCATATTAGGAATATTTTCGGACCCCAATTTTTGGGGCTAGTAGCTGCCAAAATCCAACCAATGTCAAAGAGAAAAAATATATTAAATAGGACTCTCTATGGGCCTCCAACAAATTAAAGTCCCAGGATTAAACAAGAGCCGTCCAATTTTCTGAGGATAAGATCTAGGTGTTCAAGAATTTAAATCGTTTTCTTAAAGATGATTATTTGATGATGCCTAGATGGATCCCAAAATTTTGGATAAAAAAAAAAATTCTCCCAAATCATTCTTTTGCCCCAGGGAGTTGTTTTATATGCTCCGACAGGAGCATGCTGCTCATTCTAAAATTAACTAATGTAGTTTTCTTTTACTTGATCAATTAATGCCACATGCGGGACCAAGCTATGTTCTTTGACTTTATTAACTAATGTACTTTTCTAGAAATGATATGCATTGTTGGTAAGAACCCCATTCCCTATAACTATCTATGCATTATTCTAGAATAGATCAATCCTTGGAGTACTTTTTTTTCCCAAAAATAGTGATGGGGGTCGCTTGAAACAAAATAACCATATAATAGAATTATTACTAAAAAGGATAATCTACAATTCACGACCCTTTAAAATAAAAAAGCTCATATTAGAATGAGTTGTGACTTGTGAATGATGAAAATACAAAGGCCCATATTCGAATAAGTTGTGACTTGTAAATGATGGATTTATTATGTGGTTGATTTTTATAAAAAAGTTACTTTTGGTTATATCTTGCCCCTCAAGGTTTGTATGTGCAAATATTACTAAAAAAAAAAGGGTATTTTTGTCATCTTTTTAAAGGTTAAAGTTGAAAGTTTTATTAAATGGCAAGGGTGTTTTATAAGTAAAGTTTCATGACGCTAACTTATAAAATATTATTTTATTTTTATCAAAATTTCAAATTTACTATTATTTAACGATTAAGATATCTTATATTCTAGATTCATGAGAAGTTTTCACAAAATTTTATGTTGGTTGCTTAACACTACCCACCCTTTTTACTTGTTCTTGGGACGGGTTATGGGAACTTTAAGGTCCTCACCCTTATATTTAATGATTACGTTATTTATTAAAATATTTTTTTAAAAAAATTAACATTTTTTTTTTAATATATATAAATACATCCATCACAACCCATTTTATTTTTGACATAACACCTATCAAAATCTATTCTAATATGGGTGCGGTTTGTACGGAGCCTAGGCTCTAAACAATCAAATTAGAACCTACTTTGAAGTAGTATCGAGAAATGTGGTTTCAATACTAGAAATCTTTGTGATAACCTTAAAATATATTTGCATCTTTATTTGTAAAGTTAAAATTTTCAAAAATAGTGTAGATCCATATATCTATGAAAACTTGAAGATCTTGAAAATTGATGGTAAAAAAATGCGTTACAAAATACATTATTTCCAAAACTTGAAATCCATTTTTTTTCTCATGGCTATGCATCTTGATGTCGAGATGATCAATTTGAACATATTTGGGCATCAAAACCTCTTCTAGTGAAATTTTTGAGGTAGGCTCTAATTTGATTGTTTAGGGCCTCGAGTCTATATAAACTTTTCCCTTGACCTTTGTATTTTAAGGGGTTGTTAACTCTAGACTAACCCTTGAAAATTAGCACATGCCTCCACTTAAATTTAAGTATATAGCTGTAGACATATTCTTACATTTAAGTAAATGGAGTAATCTATACATTTAGCCTAATACATTAATTCCCTTCTTGTAGGATAAGATTCACGAAGAAAACAAAGCCTAAATCTAGATAGGATTTAAGTGGGAGATGATAACCGAAATGCAGAGAACAAATGAGTGGATTTGGCAAAAAACATGATAAGGAAAATGAAGACCTTGTTTTTGTAATGAGATCTAAACAGAAAGATGGAGAGAAGGATTCCTTGAAGTCTTTTTCTTTACTTTTTTTTTTTTTGGGACAATGTTATGTACTTCTAATAAAGAAAAATGGAAAAAGAAAAAGGAAGTTTACAAAGTGCCTTGAACTCTAAAAATCAGTTCTTTTCATGCTGTTATGCATCTGTGCAAAATACACACACACAAGACAATGTATGGAATGTATATATTTACATGTTAAATCTGTTTGCTTTGCTACAATGACCACTATGTACTAATGCAGGGCATTGAGGACTATCTTAAGTGATCAACTACTGCAATTTTAAGTGATCCTAGCCATGACCTGTATCGGCACTAGTGAAGAAGTTCTTGGGACTTGTTTGGTACGCATGAAAATATATTTGTGAAAATGTTTGTAAAAATATTTTCATGAAAGAAGCCCTTATGTGATTAGGTATGGTTTTTCACGATAATTGGCAGCCAAATGGTGTGAAGTAATTTCAAACGTACCAAATTAATCCTTAAAAGATTATTTGCTCAATGGCAAAGAAACCCAATTTCCATCAATACTACACTTACTAAATATAGGGTTTGGTTGTGTTGGTACCTTGAAGAATGTTTTATCCTAAGAAATATTCGGGCGAAATGTAGCACTGCCTAAATTCTTTTTTTTTTTTTTTTAAGGTTAATTCAGCGGGGATGACAATCTCTTACCCGTTTTTATTTTTTTAAAATTGTTAGTGGTTTTTTAATGCGTTAGTGAGAATAGAAACCTAGATCTTAGTTGGGACATAAATGATATTATGTCTATGACCCAACCCCATTTTTCAAGCACTGTTTAAATTCTAGTTCATGTAAAAGCTCTAGAGGGCGCACTTGTACAAGTAAATACTGCATAAAACAAGCCTGATATTGTGCTACCAAATGGCTAATAAATACGACATGTACAAGAGGGTGCGACATTAGTAATTGTAGATGAGAACAAAATATGATGGTTTAAGGGG